GACAATAACATCGAAATTTATGCGGCATCAAGCATTCCAGTCGGAGTTGCAGTCGAATCGTGAACGACTTGAGCAGCTTCGTCATGCTGCTGTTAAACTTGCTGAGGAAAAACCGGAGTTTCTGGGTACCATCGACCCGCAAATTGCTGACCTATCAGTGCAATGGGAGCAGCTTGAGAAAACTACCGAAGAAAAAGGACAAAAATTGTTTGATGCTAATCGCCAGCAGCTCTATGTGCAGAGTATTTCTGACATGAAGGTGTGATTTTTTGGAATGCTTGAGATACAATGTTACCACATATCCTAGAGGTCGCGAATTGGCAGGTCTCTTGTCAAACAAGCTTTTGCATTGTAGGAATGGGCAGAGCAATTACAGCAACAGATGACAAGCGAAGATACAGGTCAGGATCTGACAACAGTTAACGTAGCCATGCAGAGGCAGCAGTTAATCGAAAGTGAGATGGTGAAACGAGCCGCACAGATGGATTCGTTACAAGTACGCCCATACTTGAATAGTTTATCATCAGGGCTCTTTCTTTGTTGTTTTATCGCTCCGCTGCAGCAGCTAGTATTTTCTCGTTTTGCGCGCTAAACAAAGTTCACGTTTTATGAATAAGTTATTGAAAAATCTGCACTGCTGAATTCAGCGAAAACCTATGGAGAATGGATTATTCAGACTGAAATTTGATTTACCGATAGTGGTTGTTAGCAAATCACATGACTCAGCGAATATGTGTTCTCTCGCTTCTCATTTTGAGTCCGTTGAGCTTGAGATGTGGTTTTTTTTTTTTCGTAGTTTAGCATCTTCGCTCCCGAATTTTTGCTCTACTTTGCCAATTTCCGTTGAATTTAGTATTACCCGCTATTTTACAAGGTTCTAAAGAAGTGCATACTGTTCTAGCTTTCTTACCATGCTTGAAATTTCTCACCGTTTTACGTTCAGCAAATGGAGCCACAACTTGAAGAAATGCATCCGGAGGAGGTTGAGGCAATCAAAGCACATCGTCTGGCAGTGCAGGAGCAACTGCAACGTCTGCAGGCTCCGCTTGGAGATCGACGCCGTCAGTTGGAACGCAAAAAGCGAGCTTACCAGTTCTTGCGTGACGTTGAGGATGAGAAATTGTGGTGTGCAGGTAAAAAATCTGAAATTTCACCAGTATCATTTCGGCATTCA